ATTATCTTAATGTGTAACAAAAGTCGCTGTGATTGGCAGTGAGTAATTGCAACAGTGTGCAAGTGAATTATATTCTCATAATAAACCCCTATAGCAAAGGGTCACATTTACGTCATAATAGAATCACAATAGGAAGAAAATATAATGTCATCGTGAGATTGTCAACAAAATAACACATGTTACAAAGATATTTGCACATCATCATTACATTGCTATAACATCACATTTGTGATAAAGCGGACATTTGCACGTTATCATGATATAACTATGATTGTTGTGATGTAACTGTGACGTTTTTTGTTATGGGAAAAGTTAAACAAATGTAATAAGCTACATTAGTGCAATAAATAGGAGTGAAACAGATATAATTTATTTCACTCTAACTTATTGTGCACTCTAACTTATAGTTCAAAAGTAGTTTAAAATTCTTCGAAAAAGGACAATAGCAAGATTCTTATCGACTATCTTATCTTATCGCTATCGTTAACTAGCGATAATTGTCAGGACCAATTGGCAGGACAATCCTGAAAGAAATCATGGCTCTCATTAGCTGTCGCTAGTTAATGATAGCGACAATTGTCGATAAAACATTAGAATCCCGCAACAGACCTATGAATGGCGCTATTGACTGTATTAGAGATCTGTTCTTATTCAAATAATTCTGAACTAATTCTGAACTAGTACAATAAGTTAGAAACAAACTATAGTTGTCTTACGCTAATTTATTGCAGCGGTGTACACTAGTTCAGAACTTGAGGTGGAAAAAAGATAGACTTAATGACAAATAAAATTGTATTAAGTTCGAATGATTATAAATATGGTATATATGCTTGTACATATATAGTATATATAATTCACATTGAATTATTTAAATATTAAAGATCCAGCTTCGATCATTATGGACTTTAAATTCTTACTTGTTGTGTATTCACATATACGGTTTTAATAAATCATTTATTAAAATTATATGAAAATGTAACAAAATGGCGGCATTGTAAACATCAACAAAGTTCTTATTAAAAAAAATTTACTCAATAAAAAAGTACAAAAATATTAATAAACTTTAAAGATATTGAATTGATTCTAGTAAAGGCAATAGTAATATCATATAAATTGAATATGAATTTATATGCTATGATCATATAGCATATCACTTAAAACTTTGTTATTGGTTTGTTCAAAATGGATAGAAATCCTCCAATCATTACTAAACAAGATGTGTAACAATTTGTAGCTTCGAGAATATTGAGCTCAGAGACTTTCAAAAATACATGTTTAAATATAAATAAATGTATTCAAAATCTTACATTTTATTTTTAACATTTTACTTTTAAAAAATCATAAAGTTTAATCTCTTAAAAATCGTTTTTCTAAACCACAGTCCTGCCTTAATGTACATATATCGTCCAAGTATGCTTATGTCAAAACTTCAATAAAACAAATCTAATGTCAAATTATACAATATTCATAGGATTTTTTATTAATCGGATACAATCAAGAATAATCTTGATATTTGAAATAAATTGACCTATCCCTCTTTTTATTTCCCAAGAGAGAGATATTATAGAAGTTATATTTTCTGATACGCAAAAAAGGGAAATTTTTAGCACAAAAGAGCGATTATTTCAATAGAAGAGCACAGCTATTTCGATCATCTTATTTAAAAAATTCTTTCATACATCTTATAAATTCCTACTTCAATGAATTCGACTCCTCTTCCTTCTATTTTATCTGTTATACGCTTGTTTTTTCTCACATGTCCAAATGGTCCAGTGCGAATACTATCAGAATTAAATTATATTCTTTTCTCAATAATGGAACCAATAATATTTATTACAATAATACTTATTACGCAATTAAAAAAAAATAGAGTCCGGAAAATTTACAATTTACCAAACATTCGCGATAAAAAATTACTACCCTTTTTTAGCGAATTTTAAATTATTGAATTATTGAAGTTAGTCAAACTAGGTGTGCCTCCCATCAAGCGACACAAATGACACGGTGTGACACAATGGATCATTACATCCTTGTTTACCAATGATAAACAAAGACGATATGATCACTGTGTCGCACTTTGTCGCTTGTTGGAAAACACACTAGATGTATCGAATATTCTCTGTCTACTTGTAGCGTCTACTAATTATGTGATCACTAACACGCTGACACACGATTCACAGCAGACTCAACATAACCTCGGCTCTCATCATTGGTTAAACGTTAAATTCCTTGTAATTTTAATATTATTAAAAAAAACCTCAGATAATCGAAAAATCTCTCTTTTTGTATAATTATGTATGAACAATAATATTCGTATGGAATATAATGTCCATCGACAAATTTGTGAACATAGTGTAAAAAATTTAATATTAAATTTTAAAATACAACAAGAATACTGCCGAATGTTTCATTAATAATAACAATTTGCTTTATTACTGCATTAAAAAGCACATATGAAAATTTTGTAATTCATTCAAACAATTCCATTAAAGTAATAAGTTCAATATAAATCTATACACATTATATATATTACAATATAAATAATATCAATTCTTTTCGTTCGTATAACTTACAAAAAATTAATAAATAGTAAAACCCAGGTCAACATTAATGAACTATAGTTAGGTATACTAAATAATATTTATTAATCACAAATTATAATTTTCCGACGGTAAGTTTCAACGATTGATAAGGACTAAGTATAATTGAAACATACCATTGAAACTTATTGTCGGAAAATTATAATTTGTGATTAATAAATATTATTTAGTACACCTAATTATAACTCGTTAATGTATTGACCTTTTACTATTTATTATAATACATTATACATAGTTTATGAAAACATAACAATTCATGTTTGAAAAATCTAAATGATATAATATACAGAAAATTAATAGATATAATACAAAATTTTTTTAATCTTAAAATATCGAAACTTTTAATGTCAAAAATATAATTTGTATTTTTAAGATTTAATTTTATGCGCAGTATTTTCTGGAAAGGTCAACTGAACAAGTAGCGCCATCTCTTGTTACCTTTACAACAAATACTAGACTACTGTGCGGACATGCCAGATCTGAACCATTCCCGCACCAGATGGGTAGAGAGATACATACACGAACTAAAAACCATACACGTAAAAAAAATTTAATTGAACTGTAAAGCTGTAAACATATTTACTAATCATAGTCAAGGATTTAAAACGTGAGATTACGATTGTGATTAGTCGATTTGCTTATGGCCTAACAGACTAAAATTTTTGTACGTATGATGGCCTTAAGAAAGAGCCACGTATATGTGTCATATATATGTGGCTCATGTACGTGTCCCCTCCACCCATTTGGTGCTGGGGTAACGGTTCAGATTTGGCATCTGCGCATCTGCTACTATGTCGCCTATATCGCAACAATGTTAAAAAATGTGAAATTATCTTTAAATGTATCATATTTTAGTTGTAAAATCTATTTACAAAGATAAAATCTTACAATAATTGATTATAACCAAATACATTATTCTCTGATCTAACATAAGATATGACACTAGATAATAAACACCAAAATATTTATTATTACTATAAAAAAAAATTGTGAACGTCAAATTTACAGTCACAAAAGACACGAAGCCTTTTATACTTGAATATATTTAACATACAAATATAAGACTGATAACGAAATATTGTGCATTCATAACCTTCATATTTTTATGAATACAATTATAGTAACAGTGTGTTTTCATAGTGTGTGTTTGTGTATGTGTGTGTGTGTTTCTGTGTGTGTGTGTGTGTGTGTGTGTGTGTGTGTGTGTGTGTGTGGGGCATATATCGGAAAATTTCTACAAAAATAGGTTAGACTAAATAAAAAAATATTTTAAAACTAACATTACGCGTGTTTGAATCGATCAGTATGATATTTCGATTACATATTATTGATGAACGACAAATACAATTTGTAGAAAAAGGTCATTGAAGGTCATATACCGGGCGTGTCCAATTTGAGCTTCGGAGTCAAAACGCAAAGCCATCGACGCAAAAAAATCAATATGGATAAGATTTCGGAGACTGTAAAGTGTTGATACGAGTCTGAGCGACGCTTATCAACAGTTCATGAAATTTTACATTGAATTTTTTTGTCGATGGCTGCGTTTTGGCTGCGGAGTTCAAATTAGGCAGACCTATATACAATATTATTTGTATCTATATAATATCTAAGATTTCAAAAAATTATTATGACATATTTATCAAATTTCATGAATTTTATGTACCTGTATATTATTGATTTATACATTACAGTATGATATATGTAACAAATGAATCATACTTCTCGCATAATAAAAAGTTCTATTAACCTTAAATTAATGAAATAGTCGAATACATATTTTAAAAGAAACAATAACAAAATGGCGTACACGAGGTTATTTAAAATGGTTTCCTTGCTATGTTAAAGTTCTATAGCAACAGCAAATGCTTCCATAGATTTGGGCCTTAAGGCCCATTTGTTAATTTTGATAATGCATGGATTTTTACATCATGGGCAATATGCTTCGGCTAATCCCAATGGTTAATTTATTTTAAAAAATTATATAAAATTAAAAGTAAAAAAATTTTAATTGTTTCGTTTTAAGCCTTGAAATATGCACTATCTCTCAAATGTCATATAATATAACGGGATTAAGATGAATAAAATAATTAAAAATGAGTGGAGAAAATTTTGATAAAACGTTTTATTCGCATAACGTTTCGAATCCCACAACGATTGCTCGTCGTAAATCCTGAGAATTTAAGCCTACGTCCATACATTATCAAGATAATATAATTGATGAACTTACGTTATATTATTGTATAGGAAGATCTCGGACAGTGGAATATTAATTTTTCGACACGTAAAAACAGGTTATATTTACGGTAAATATGCCAGAAACGGACTACACTTCTGATGCTAGACCATCGAATAACTGCAACATCGCAAGCTAAACAAGCGACTCTGGCAACGTTGCCGGTTCTCCCACTACCTCACCTAACGTATATTAATATGAAAAATACGACAAAATTGCGATGAATTAAGGGCAATAGATGCATCCGAATGAAAAGAATTTATTAAAAAATACAATATCAAAGTACAAGGGCATCATAATATGAATAAACGCATATCCAAAAAGTTATCGACCTATACGTCGTTATATGTTAGCACACAATATCTGCGCATGCGCTGCCTAAATTCTCCGATCAACAATTTTAGCCTAACTGCAGGGACTGCTCATTCCTTCCTTTCCTTTTATTGAAGAGCCTGAACGCTTACGCGAATATTCCTTTTCTGCTTTCTTTTACTATAATTGCACATACACGAGATATGATCGAGTGACCGTTATCGCGAATCCGGTAAGTAAGGCAGATACATCACATACGTCACGATGACGCTGTTATTACTACTAAGTGTATCATATGATTGTACACATAATATTTACAAATGACTATATATGGTATATGATAATTAGTATCAATATAAAGATGCTTAGTGCTCATGTTACTACTACTATATTGTTTTGAAACAATAAACAACAATATCATGCTTCAATCCTTTTGTATGTATGGGAATCACCTTTGAGGTTGTTACTCGAAACCATCTTGTTTTTCTATTTATGTACGTAATATGATCGTCCTTTTGTGTTATAATTTTTGTTATTCTATGATAATAAATATTATATAATTTTTAATGAAATTATAAAATTATACGAAATGATATTATTTTTTACAGTTTTTAATTTAGGAGTAATATTGGTACAATTAATATCTTCATTAACCAATTAACGAAACAATAAATAAAATGATATATATTAAATGAAAATCCGCTAGCCCAGACAGCGCACAATATTTATAAAATATTTATGAATATTTATAAGACTTATTTTACATATTTTATAAATATGATTGGTCATAGATTGCATAGATCATAAATATTTACCATAAATAATTTGAGAATTTTTTATTGCTTTATTATATAATTTTATGATGAATTATTTTAAAATTGATTATTGTTTTGAAAATATGGACTAAATAATTAATTATTTTAGTAAAAATAAACGAGCGCTATAATACAATATGTATATAGTATATATAATTTAGATATATACCATTTGTATATTATTTATACATGCTTGTTGGTGCTCATCTTTATTAAAATAATTATTTATTTAATATTATACACACATATACAGATGCATACGTATCTGCAGATACATATATATCTCTTCGGTGCTTTTGATGTAGAATATTATGTCTCTCATTTTAAGTGCTATAATTTTGCATTAATAAAGTATGTACGTATTTATTTGTATCGTTATATTTTTTAATGTTTGACATTTCGATAGAAAACAAAATTTATTACAATATGTTTATTTTTTTGCGATAATTTTTACTCGAAATATGTTCTCGAAATATATATCTCCATGACACAATGTATATAGTGTGATACTGAATAGGTACACAGTAGTGATCATGAAAATAGATCGCCACCTATACATATAAAAATTAATAAAATATTATTTTACTCAGCTATTTTTACTTGCCAGTAATGTCATTTATTGTATATCAGCAACGATGCATATCAAACTAAAAAACATAACTAATTATCGCCGAAATAAAGTCCATGTTGTATTGCGAGAATTCTAAAATGCCCTGCACTATAGTCTGGTTATAATAATAAAGCTAAATTATTAATGTAAATTTATTAACATAAAAAGATTTGTCAAATATTAATGTGATTTCATAGATTATAGTAAAATTATAATTTAGTTAAAAGTTATAATAGAATAGATTCCTAAATTTTATTATATACATTATTTACACATCCTTTTTATGTCGATGTTGCAACTCTAAGCATCTTCCTCAAGTGACTTTGAGTTACTATTATCGATGTAATAACTCTATCGTAAAATAGCGTTTGGCTGCGATGTTGGCACTGTCAGCACTGCAGCCAATACGATGATAAGAATCTTCCAGGTAACAATCCAATAAAAAAACAAGCATCCTGTGCTGCCGGCTTTATTTCGGTAATATTTTGTTATGTTTTTTTGTTATGTTGATATGAATTGTTGCTACTATGGATAATAAATAACATATATATTATCGACAAGTGAAGACAAACCGATAAAATAATTATGTTATTAATTTTTATATAGATGCTCTATTTTCATTGTATACTATATAGGGTGTATCCTAAATTCACTAAAAAATTTTAAGGAATAATTCCTTACACAAATTCAAGACGAAAACTTTATATATGTTCGTGATTTATTTTCAATTTTAACATGATGAAGTTTTAAAAAATCAAATTAAAAGTTAATAGTTGTCGAAAATATAACTATATAAAATATCACTATATAAAGTTAAAAAGTTAAGAATCTAAAATGTAACTAAATAAAGTTAAAATTAATTAACTTTCTAACTTTTTAATTTAACTTTTAACTTTTTAATTTGCATTACCTAACCTTGTGAATTTGTGAGGAATCACACTTCAAATCTTTCAGTGTACTAGGATACATCCTATATATATAAGATAGGCATAGTCAGAGAATTGGAGGGTTCACACACCCACACACACACACACACACGCGCGCGCGCGCGCGCGCGCACACCACCTTCTCAAAATTTTTTATTTATTTTTTAATTTTTAATTATAAAAACATATAACTTTACTTTTGACTCTAAATAAATCTTTTATTGTTACGTAAAGGATTTTTGCTTGCTTATTACGACTATGTAAGTAATTGTTGAAACTTTCGTTAGTTAGAAGTTCGAATGTCCTATACAAGAAAAGAAAATTTTTGCAAAGTTGTTTTTTGAAAAAACATAATATGCGAATAATATTATTTATAATATATTATTTATATACAGGGAATATACACCAAAAAAGTGTCAAAAAAATGTCTACTTTTATGATTTTTTTTTTTAATGAAAACTATTATCTTTATTTAAACAGGATTTTAAGCAATCTTTTACAAATTTGAATGAATATTACATAAAATTTTTAATTAAAATAAATAGCACCGGCACAATTATTAGCGTCTAGTCGGTTTTTAGAAATAATGATTTATAGTAATGATCGTATTCATATTGTTTATCAAAAAATCCCAATAAATTCTTTAAATATATTCAAATCTAATCCTTATTGTAGCCGATTTTAAATATTCTCAATTTTGACAAAATGACACTTTTGAATTTAAAATATGCAATTTTTTGCTAAAAATTGTTTGTTTTTTATTATAAAAAATAATTATGACTCTAAAAAGATTTCTACAACCAAGGCTAGATTTATTAATATATTTTAAGAATTTGTTGAGTATTTTATTTTAAATAAACTATCCACAAAATATAAACTGTAATAATAACATTACATCAATATTGTAATTTCTTACTTAATCCAGATAGCACAAAATTCTTAAATAAATGATAACGAAAAGATGTCTCTTTTAATCTATCTTTTTGACAAAACGAGAAAACTGTTTAAAAGATGACAAAAAACATCGTTTTTATGTTTTTTTTTCGATAAGACGAAAAGATGCGTATAAGACTTTTATTTTTATCTATTTTTCGATGTTACTCATTCGAATTGTACACACTTGCTGTATCAATGCGTTTAGATTGTCGTATTCAGCAAATGAAAGTTAATCCAGTGTAGAATTTATATTCGGACGAACCGAATGAACTGAACAAGTCCAAAAAATATTGTACGTTTCTGACAGTTCAATTTGATGCACAAAAATGGTTTTGTACTCGCATCGTGTCAGGGCAGTACCAGAGCAGAGTCAGTGCATGTGAGTCGAATTCGCCATTAATCAGTTAAATTTTAACAGTCACATAAACTTCTGTAAGACCAGTCATCTTTAATAGTATTATATCTCGTCGGGACCTAAAGTCTCTTTTAACTTAAATGTTTATGAATTTTAATGAACAATAAAATATCTGATTATCTATTGATTAACATTTCAATATATTTTTTCAATATATCTTTTTTGATGTATAATAGAAAAAATATTTATTTTTTGTTGACAATAACAATATAACGATAAAAAGGGGCAAATAAGAGTCGATTCTTTAAAATGTAAAGTGTAAAAAATTTTTAATAGGAACTAAATACGTACATAATAAAAACAGAGCATCATTACATGTTTCGGTTCTTAGATTGAGCCATCTTCAGATATTATTATATTCACACTTTAAATTAGTTACCATCATCAGAAAAATAAAAATCATGATAGAATGTGTTCCAATTTGTGTAGCGATCCTGATAAATATTTCATGAAGAACGTCAATTACTCATAAACGATTTGATAATCGATTGTTAGGAATTTCATGATGCTCTAATTAAAAAACAAATTCGTTCACTAATAAATAAATAAATAAATAACTGAATAAAATAAACTAATTACCGACAGTAAACTAATATTTATTTTTCAGGCATTTGTAATATCATTGAAATATGATTAAACATATTGCCACGCCCATCGATCATTTTGAAGCTATGATATGCCATGAGAACATCTTCGGTATCATATACATATAGGCTGCATTTGGAAATGTCACTGTTTCCCGGAGGAATTTAACATTAAATTTTAACAAGGACAGATGATGAATCCGAAGCATCGGAAGCGACGTTTCCAAATGCAGTCATAGTTTGTAAAATGTAATTACATATTAAGGTGCGATTAAATTTAGTGCGGTATGTGGAACGTAAATTTGAATATTACGCGCGAATTGTCGTTTCAAGACTCAGTAATGACATCCTGCTGATTTCGTGTCTTGACTTCAATTAGAGTGATTCTAATTTTCCCAATGTATGGGCAGTAAGCATAGTCCATTCTTATTTCATTCGAAATAAGAACGGACTATTGATTGATTCGTAACTTCTTAAAACTGTACTTAAGATGATCTTGAATATAAAATCCGATTATGAATACATCGGCCTATGTACGGTTTTTGAAGCCGTGATTCGAGCCCACTTTTCATCCCCAAGTTTGATTTTCTTTTTTTACTCCATAGCTATTGAGTGTATAGTGTTGGAACCTAAAAGATTGCAACACTTTTTTCGATGGATTTCGGAATACAGCTTATTCATCAAGCGATTGGTTTTTATTTATAGGTTCATAAGTAAGAACCAATCGCTTGGGAAGCAAGCTGCATTCCGAAATCGAAAAGAAAGTGTTGCAACTTTTTAGACCTTGTCTGTACATACATGACACATAGAATAACTTAAAGCGGAAGCCATAACGTTGTTCAAGATTCGAGATGGTCTTAAGTTAGTGCATGAACCAATCAGAAAGCCATATTAGCATCTTAAGATATTGGGTGCATTCGTTTATATAGTTAGGGTCTCCGCACAATAAAAGGAAAACAATACAGAGAACAGAGAATAAGAATTTCAATCTATCAGAAACTGTGTATTCTACAATACTTGATTTCTGATAGGTTGAAATTCTTATTCTCTGTTCTCTATTCCCTGTTCCTTTTATTGTGCGGAACCCTTTATTTTTTATTCTCTGTTCTCTATATTGTGCGAAGTCCCTTACTGCCGCAAATGTCGTTCGTTTATTTTACCTGTGAAGATGACTGCAGCACAGTTTGTTATTTGTTTATACAGGAATGTATATCATCTACGCAACTATGTCGGAAGTCCTGCTCAGGATGCTCTGCTCGCAGCTATTGCGTAAATGAATGACATGCGCTGCAGTTGCTTTTGCAGGTTGAATATTTTGTTGTTCATAATACCAGCTATAATAGTCGATTGTATTACTAAAAATGAATTTTATTAAGATATTAAAAAATAAAAAAGATCAAGAACAACTTGTCGAAATCGATCCTACTAAAGTGGAAATAATGCAACGTAAGATGTATAATGGAAAAAGTGTGAAGTTTGCTAATTTGTATTTGTAATCAGATTAACCTAAAAATCACACCTTTTGGATGTAGATTGAAAATATACAGGGTTGGCCATATTCGACGAAAAGATCTGGCAACACTGTAACTTTTGACAGAGATGTTAGATCGAGTAACGACGTTTCCCATGATTGAAAAAAAAACATCTTTCCGTCGAATATGGCCAACCCTGTATAAGAATTTTATGAACTTTTTATAAATAAATTTTATAATTTATATTTTGGAGTTTATTTAATATTTTCGGATTTTTTATTTAGGCCTAATTCTACAACTCGCAGTTAACCTCTTAACTGAGGTTCAACTTATTTTTCATCTCTTTCCAATTCTAGCATTAAAAAGAGATGAAGAATAAGTTGAACCTCAGTGAAGAGTTATCATGAGTTGTGAAACTGGTGCCCTATTTTTTAGCGCGCGCGCACGTACGTGCGCACACACACACACAATTTTTGCATACGAAAATTACAGTTCACAGATTGTGATTGATTGCTTATATACGGATATTTATATTTTTATTCTGTATACGTTATTTATTCAAAAATAGGATCCCTGGGCCTTAATTTTTAATCAATTCAGCTTTTTCAGATTTCTATTGGAAGATACAGTCCAATATGATACGAGTTATTCATGCAGAGATTCATTCGATAAATTAAGTTATGTGACCAACAGATAAGAAAGCAAAAATTACGCTATCTACTGCATAAATGAATGCATCCATTGCTTGAGATTAAGAACAGACTATGAATTTCGATCTTAGGATTATGGCACACAAAAAAAACTTAAGCAGTAAAACATAAGCAGTAAGCGAATTGACCAATCACATCAGAGATCGTAAGACCACACATATGTAGTAGCGAATCCAATATGTTGATTTCCTTACTGCTAGAAGGTATATACAATTTTACGTGCTGCTAAAATAAATAATTGGGGCGACAGATCTGTCGCTGTTATGCCTACTGCACACTGGACGCGATAAACGATGAGCGACGAGCAATATCTAATAAGAGCTTGGTTTTGTGTCATCACGTGAGAAAAAGCACAGCTTTTATTGGATCGCTCGTCGTTCATCGCCCATCGCGTTCAGTGTGAACTAGGCATTATTCAAATGGTTGAAATTTTATAGTTTAAACGAGTACAACTACAAGCGTTAAACGCTGTTGATAGTGCTGCCGCACAGTGTTGATTGTATTGATCAGCGTTGACCGTGAAGTATAGAGAATAGGAGGCGCCGAACTTACATGAACGAGGCCAAAAGCGTGATCATCTGAATTAATTCGATCGAGATGTTACTTTCGTTCCACTACACGTTCTCGCAGTTTGCATGGTAGGTCATACTAATTTTATATGAAGAAGGCTCCAGAAATAAGGAATTAGGAATAAGGAATAATGATTTCAACCTATTAGAAACCGTGTATTCCGATGTATCTGATAAGTTAAAATCGTTATTCTTTATTTCTAATTCCTTCTATTGTGCGCAGGGTCTTATTACTCATGTAATAGCATGGAAGAGAATCACAAAAACAAGGATATTATCTTATGAAGTTTGATATACGAAAATGGAATGACCATTCTCAGATTTCTTTTTGATGTAAGAATGCAAAATATTTTCCATTCCCAAAGATGCGTATCGCTTTGAATATGGTGACTACTTTTTAACCAATAAAAACGTTGTCCCAAAAATGGAACATGAATGGGCGCGTTCAAGTCAACAAAGCAGCTAGCCTGTTCGTTAAGTAAATAAATATGATTATTACTGTAAGAGATAAGCGACAATACGAGGAAAATATCAGGGCGCTCCAGGATTTGAACCGAGGCCTAGTCTCCTCCATATTGGTAAACTTCCGTACTGCCACCGAATCACACAGCTCTGGGCCCTTATTCTTGAAAAGAAACATATACGAAAAACTAGGGAAATACTATATTATACGTAACATATACTGTAGTATTTCCCTAGACTTTCATATACGTTTTTTTTTTCAACTGATGCTGGAGCCTTATAAGGCGTATTTGCCGCGTTTTGCGTAGCAACGTAACCAATTAGAAGCGATTTGCTATTGTGGTTCCGTGTCTTACTGATTACTGATCGGTTACGCGGTTACGCGATACGCGACAAATATGCCTTATAGGACTCCATCATGACTATAGATTTATAACGAATTCGATTGGACGCACTCAGTGCGCATTAATGCACATTAAAACCGTTGTATATAAAATGTGAAGATATGCTTATAAATAAACATAGACATCGATTAAAATACTCAATACATTTTATTGTACTATTAGATACAATATGTATTTTAATTTATAATTCGAAATATTTGCAATTTATTTTTATATTCAAATCAAGTTAGTGTACAACGGCTTTAATATGCACCAGTACGCATTAATTCTTCCAATCGAATTCGCCAATAGTATTTCTATGATCGTGGTCCAATTCATGCTGACAACGATTGTGAACATGGTTTGTCTTTGTTTAACATTTGGCTAATATAAGAATGAAATAATTTTTGTGAACGTGAATCGGATCGCTTAGATCGAGCATTCGAGACATGGGGGCAGTCCTCATGCTGGCTCAGGTGTGTTCTCTCTCGTTTCGCGCATGCACGAGAGAGAACGCACCTAAGCCGACTATGAGTGCGTCTTTTTCTAAATGAGGGCTACTCTTACTCTTTAAATTTCTAACAATGCTCGGTCTAGAGATACTATAGTTAGTATTCATAGTCGATTCTTATATTCAAGACCGTCTTAAGTTTTGTCTTGAGGTGTCACGAACCAATCAAAGGGTCGCATTAGAGTTTTAAGACATTACTTAAGATGGTCTTAAAATAAAAACTGACTATGAATACTGATCTATGAGCATGATGCTGATAGCTTATCTGTTGTGTCTATTTTCTGTAAATTTCTTAGGGCGCGTTTACACCTTGACAGAAAAACGGCTAATCAGAATTTGCGCTGGTAAGTAATACAAAAAGCCGAATTGTCGACCAACATGAGTTTTGATTGACTGTTGCTTCTTCACTTTCTACTTTTCCAACAAAGTGTGAACGTACCGTTACATTTCTTATAGACCTAACCAATCACATTTAATCACTCGGCGAGCAGGCTAGCAGCTTTGTCCGGCTTGAACGCACTCATTGGATGCATCCAGAAGCACGATCACTCACTGAACACTTAGTCAGCTTTTGCATCTGATTGATATATTCCATTAGATTTAAAAATAACATCAAACACTCAGTCAGCTTTTGTACACTCGCGGATAAAAATATCTTTAGTCCGGATCTACAATAGGAATTTTAGGCCTTAAGCCATAAAAAATTGATCAATTACAATTAAATGCGAGAAGAATAATGAACTGTGATTCGTTCATTTCTTATGGCTTAAGGTTTTGTAGATCCTGGTTTACACATTCAAGTGTAATCTCCCCGGTATACCTAATGCTATCATGTGCATTTCACTAACTTTAGGGCAAGCATTTAATTGGTTGTTCTGATTTATCCTGCCGCCATCATGCACAATGGAATATTTTGCATTCTTATATCATATATATATGGGCTTAAAGATTTTAACCTATTAGAAACCATGTGTCGTAGAATACAGTTTCTGATAAGTTGAAATTTTTATTCTCTGTTCCCTATTCTCTATTTTTTTTATTATGCACAGCTTCTAAGGAAGCGTTTATATTGGCCATAATTATATGCCGTATGCCGTAATTTGGAAAAATTGACCAATCACTTTCGAGTATTCTCTTCCTATAGTCGAATGAGAGGAGAATACTTGACTGTGATTAATCAATTCTTACAGATTACGACATACGGCATACGATTACGACCAATATAAACGCTCCCTAAAGGTTGGTGCAAGACAGCCAACGACATGATGAGCGCGTTCACCGAATTGAACAGTTGAGAAATACTTCTAAGTCAACCAGATGTAATAAAACCAGATGTAACCACGGAGTAATAAAAAGGAAATCAAACTCGAGGTCTGAAAGTGGGCTCGAAACATGTGTTTGTGGTGTCGGAAAACCCATAGAAAATCAGGCCAATATGATTTTAGTGCCATCACGCCTTGCGGGAAAAGTTGGAAGTATTGACTATCACAGGGAATCTATTCTGTATCTTAAAACGAGGTGAAAATTTTAAAAGTCAACGAATTTATTAGAATACTAATAATTTCATTGGTTAATACCTAGTAAATTTGCTCACTTTTGTAATTTTCACCTCGTTTCAAAATACAGAATTGAAGGTCGTACTATGGGTCATACTATGGGTCTGAGCACAAGAATTGTCATAACATTTACTTAAAGATTTAAGTTGTAGACGTAAGTAATGCACAAACTTTGGCGTATGACGTACGATTTATTGCCGTCTCTTTAGAGACACGGCAATAAGTTGTACGTCATACGTGAAAGCTTATGCGTTATTTATGTCTACAATTTAAGTCTAAGTAAATGTTACGACAATTCTTGTGCTTAGATCTTATGTATGCATATACATGCATACTACTACATACATACATATTGGGTCATCTAAAAAGTATCCGCGGTACTTTGTCACTAGATATATGACCATCAACACACATCTAGTGACAAAAAACCGCGGATACTTTTTAGATGACCCAGTATGTATAATACATATGTGTGACCTGTGATCACGTGACAGTTAATACTTTCAACTTTTACTACAAGGCGTGATGGCATTAATCACATCTGCCGAAGTTTTCCTACGCTGTGTTTCAAGCCCACTTTTTTGTGACCAGCCGCTTTGATCTCCTTCTTATTACTTCGTGAGATGCAATGCTTTTGGATGCATCTACTGGCTGCGTTCAGCGAACTCGACAATTGAATAAACGCTCACTGCTATTAATGTATTTTTTCAGATCTAAAATGCTGATTGGGTAATCTAAAAGAATACACCAATAATAGCGAGCGCTCATTCAACTATTGAATCCGCTGAATGCAACCAATCGCTTACT